TGGAGATGGTGATCATATCTCTTCAATGATTCATTTGCACAAGGAACAATGCCCAGAATCGTTGAACAACAACGGATTTCATGCAGAAAAATATCAAAATTGTTTCGAAAGTAACCCACTACTCTCTTCTACATATTAACCCAAACTTTTAATAAAATTGTTACGATCTCAGGAATTACACTAAACCTAGTGGTGTACGATGGCCGTATTTCAACTGCAGAAGTTCGTCAGAGGTTCGTCACTTCCTGACCACCCTTCCCGTTACCATAAGGTAATCCCAGTTTACTTATTTAAATGAGCATAAACGTTGTAATTCAGTGGTGTATAGGAAAGAATTAGGTTTGCATTACGATTGGGAAGAGGTCCAAAAGAAACATCGATTGGGGGGGGGGGGGGGGGTTCTGGGGCTTTGGTATGTTTGTTTGTTTGTTTGTTTCGTACGGCTGTCTTTATCTATAAACTTTATGGTAGTTTGTACCTTTACTAGGGGTTCGTTCGGTCGAATCTTCCTTGACCAAATCATGACTCGGACTTTATAAATTTTCTCATTCTTTTTACTTTCTAAAATGTCCGTAATGAACGAATTCGCCCATATACCCCTCCCTCGCCTCAGTTCCCCAACAGGTATCCCCCGAAGGAAAGGCGTGACTTGAGCAGAACCGTTTTATTGAGTTAGGGTTTTCCTCTCATAGAAAACGAAGCTAATGCAATGCATAGAAAACCACCCCTTTTACGGGACAAACTCTAACAATGTATAATTAGTATAGCCATGACTATAGTACAAAATTCGATTACTTGTCACAACTTTTAAAAATTACGCTCAGATAATGCTTCTAAACCCCCTCATCTCAAAAAATGGTGATTAAAAAATATTAAATCAAACGTCAGGAAAGAAATGTCTTTTGATGGTGGTGGTAAAGACTACAGACACAGAAGTGAAACTAATAACATTCGAGGTTTATTTACTGTGGTCAGCTTTAGAATTGTAGTCAGGAAACTACATTGTTGCTGAACGGCTGAAGCCATTATCAG